ACACGAGTCTCATTAAGTGTCCAGTTTAAGGGTATTACACAGAAACATACCAAGGGAACATGAATCAAATATGCACTTTTATTCATTTACAATAAACTCATAAAGTACATCATTCTGATTGAAGCTAAGGACATACAAAACTGTCTAACAATTCTTTCCTGCTCTTGCCGCCCTACCCAGTTCGATCTCCACCAGTGGGAGTGATCAAGAACACGTCTTGATATTGCCCTTTGCTAGGAAAGGCAATCTGAAGTCGTGCTCACCAGCCCTCCATCATATTCTTGTTGAAGAATTCGGTTCTTGCTGAAGAACCGTCCTGCTGATTCTGCTTCACCTCACACCGTGTCATCTTCGGTGGAAGCAGTCTTTGGTCTTCTCCTTGGGCGTGAACACCTTCGTTGGGGGTTTATTGTTACTCCGTATCAGGTATATCCCTCTACTCCCTTTTGGTTTCAGATCTGGTCCGGTTTGGTTTCAAGATTGATCCTTGAAAATGCAGTTTTCTAAAATAGGAAATGCGATTCCCACATGGGAAAGAGAGAAATTTTTGAAATTTTGCCTAACCTTCCTGCAAGGTTCGGCCAATCATATGATGGATATCTCATCCCTTCACAACCATCAAAACTTATCTCTTCAAAGTCCCATTCACCCTGTATTTAGATATTTATCATTTGTACCTGTTGGTGTGAAAATTTTAAGAAATTCTCATGCAACATAATTCACTCAATCAAGTGATTGAGTTTTTATTATTTTGGGTAAGGCCCATTCAAGGAACCATACGGATTGTTCCCCTTAATTACATCTCCACAAGAAAGTAGAGAACACCTTTTTATTCCGACTTGAAGGAATGAATGCATAGAACAAAAGAAAAGAACAATAGGGCACTTAAAAACAACTTTTCATTTGCGTTTCTTTTACATCAAGTGTACAAGAATGAGAAGAAAGAAAAAGAAAATACAATTGAGAAACTATACAACAATACATTTCTCTTTTCTTTTTAATACAAAGAAAATTTCTTTCTCACTCCTTTCTTCACAATAAGTTGTAGTCAATCAGATGAAATTCTGACTATAGACAGCCTTATTCCTTAGATTTTTTGCATACAAAAAGAGAACAATAGTCATTCAAACTGAATATTTGATTRTTGACAGTTTTTATCCCTTTGTTCTTCATTTTCATTTGAAGGGAATCATAATCAACCCTTGAGAATTAGACTATAAATGGTTTAATCCCTAACTTTGTCTTGAAAGAGGAACCATAATCAACCAAGTAGAGGCACCTAGTTGTAAATGGTTTGATTCCCTCTATTTCCTTTCTCAAAAGTGGAAATAAAAGAGAGAGAAAGAGGGATACAAAGCAGAAGACATATATAGGAAGTATTCACAGTGAGGACTTTCCTTTTTCTACCTGTATTAGTGAGACTTTCCTTCCCTGCCTTCCCTTGAGCACTTCTCTTTTCTTTTCTCTTTATCTTTGCTTTTCTTAAGAATCTCTTGAGATAATTTTCCCTGAAAAATGTGTATAGCCCCCCCTTAAGGAGCTTAAATAGAGAGTGGGGTAGTTATGTAACTACCTCCTCCTCCTAGGTGAAGGACACCTGTCCCTCCCACTTAAAGAGAGGGAATTCCCATACGGGTACATTTTTATAGTTTTGATATTTTGGCTAGCAGACTAGCAAACCCACTTATTTGGGTTATTAAATTATTAAATATTATTTGGATTAAAATAGTGCCTTCAATAGCACCAAAAGGCTCTTTTCCTGTAAAAAATTCTCCTATGTCTAATTTTGACTAGAGAATCCATATCTTGTTTGATAGCTTCTCTGTTTAGATTAAAATATAGCCTAAACAGTGCCTTTTGGAAATAGCAACTCAAAAGAGATTTTTGTTAGATTTCCCTAAATCTAACCTTTCAGATGCCAATTAAAGCATTTTTTTGTTGCATATAATGGTAGAACTATTTCTACCATATTAACAAAAAACATAACAGGTACAAATTAAAAAACAAAAGCCTCAACAATAACAGGTATAAATTTAAAAACAAAAGCCCCAGACACGAATTTGCAAATTCCAACTACGAGCTTGTATACCATTAAATATTATCAACAAAATTCAAAGTGGAGAAGAAAAACATACTGAATTCCTGAGCATCTGCTTCTTCAACAACTAGATATGGTATCAGATTATCAGTTAAAGCACCAATCTGATGAAGCTTCTTACATGCTTCAAGACATGCAATTTTCTTCAGTATATCAGCTTTGCCATCAACTAACACACTTTGTATTGGACAGCTCAAAGGAAGATGCAAAGTGCAAGACTTGGATTCCTTGTCAATTACAAACCTAGGTGTTGGTCTAAAATACCTATAGAAGAAAGTTATAAAATATATGTAAGACTGCAAGGAAAAAATATATGTCACGGAAATGAAAGAATAAATTCAAACAACTTGATAGGGAAATAACAATAAGAACAGACCTATCAGATGGTAGCTGCGAACAATAATAGTAAATCAGAGCAACACTAGAACTTAGAGTCACAATTGCTCCAGTGGCCTCAACACGATAAAATTCCTCATTAGACATTTCACTTTCAAAGGGCACACAAGGAATCGATGAAAGGCTTAAGGATTCCTTTCGCATAATATCCCCGCTTGCAAGATAGTTTTTAACTCTTGAGAGTGTAGAATCGTCCCCACTACAAACAGAAAAAGAACGCAAAATACCAGATCCAGGTTATGTCAAGAAAGAAATGTTAATAATCAAATTACAAATGAAAATTGTCAGTCTGATGTGTTCACTTTGCAAGGTTCACAAATATTTGAATAGATGCAACAATCTAGTCAGAATTGGAATGGGAATGGGAATTTCGTTTTCAGTTGGAATGGGAATGGGAATCGGAATCAAAATCCTTCAGAGTCAGAATTGGAATGCTCTATTCCCCCTACCTGTTTGGTTCAGACAGGAATCATAATAAGCTAGAATGAATTCTCATTCCCAAGGGAGGGAGAGGGAATGGCCATTCTCTCAAATGGGAAATGCCGTTCCACCAAGAATGGGAATCGGAATCAGATTCTGATTCTGATTCTGCCCAACCAAATGGTTGGAATTGGGATGGACCATTCCAATTCCAATCCCAGACCCCTATTCCCGCGAACCAAATGGACCCTAAATATGTTCCAGGAAAAATACAAGATATGATGGAGGACAAATCAATGCTACTGAACACAAACATAATTCCAACATGCACAAATCAGTTTATTCTCACATATTATAAACATCTGGTACAATGGAAAATACAGTTTTGTGAGACCCAGATACGAACTGCAACTGGATCCCCTATTACCATGTTTTGCATTTTGAATAGGGAAAGCTATTATGATGTGGGAAATTGGAAAGAAATTTTGTGTATGACAGAAGATAAGAATAGTTGACAACATTGATACTAGTTATAAAAAGTTAAAAGGTAATGGAACAGAATGGGAAGGAGCAACTGCCACCTCTTGATCATTAATAGATACTCCGATCCCCGCATTCTAGCACGACCACGTGATTGTATAAAACTACAAACAGTGGCTGAAGGGTCAAATCTTATAACCAAATTGCAGTTTTGAACATCTAAGCCCTCCTCAAGAATCTGAGTTGCTACAATAATGTTCACCTGAAAGATGCCATTCCATGAATAAAGTGCCGGAAAACAGTATTTTAAGCTAAAAACATAAGTGTCCAACATGGACATGGAGCCCATGTAGAATCATTCACAGAGAGATGACCTACCTTGCCTACATGGAATGCTTCAATAATTTTTATTTGCTCAGCCCTACTTTGGCTTTGCAATCCAGAATGGTTTCCCGCCATATAAGCTGTTTTCCAACAGCACAACTGTGGTAACTGGCTAAGCAGAGACTGAAGAACAATTGCTGTAATGATTCTCTCAACAAATATTATACACCTTAAATCCTTTATCATGCTGTGTGCAAACACCATGCAAATGAGAATGCATTAACATGAAATAATATACTACTAAAACAAAACCATATAGTTGATCAGGAAAACAGATATCTAACTAGTCAGACACCTTTATAGGGTTTCTCCGAAAACAGTAAAGTGAAAAAAATAAAAATAAAAAAGTTTTAGCTAGGCAGAACAAGAGGGTGGACCTTGGCACAATGGTTGGTTTCTCCATCGCGACCTGGGTGATCAGGGTTCAGATCTTGGAAACAGCCTCTCTGTATGTGCAAGGGTAAGGGTGCATTCATCTGCCCCTCCCCAAAACCCAAACCCTGCATTGGCGGGAGCCTCGTGCACTGGGCTGCCTTTATTAGCTAGGCAGAACAAGATTGGTTATAATCATAGTTATGCCAATGATATACTCTTTCTTAAATATTTTGGGACTTCTACAACATCTTAGTGACAGGGAATAGCCCCATAGAACTTCAGCATTGGATTTAGAAGGAGTTCTGACCTCTAAATTTGCTATTAAAGAACTTGGAGAGCTTAAGTATTTTTTTGAAATCAAAGTTTCTAAGTCAAGGAATGGAATTTTTATTTCTCAGCAAAACTGTGTTCTAATTTGTTGAAAACAAAAAGGCAAGCTGGGGGACCAAACCAGTTGATACACCAATTGATCCTAATCATAAGTATCATAACAGTGAGCTAACTGAACTCCTTTCTCTCAGTGAAGCCTACATCTCCCCAAATTCCCAAGATTCCCGAGTCTGGAAACCCCACCCTGTAGGTGAGTTCTCATCCAAGTCTTTCTTCAAAGCTCTGGTTGCAGGTACCCGAGACCGCGACTTTCCTTACAAGAAGATCTGGTGCAAGTTTATACCCTCAAAAGTGAATTTCTTTGTTTGGGAGGCTTGCCTGCAGCAAGTGAACACTTGTGAGTTACTGCAGAAGAAAAATCTTGGAAGGCTTTATATCTCCCCTCACGCCTGTACCCTTTGCCTACGTGAAGGAGAGACAACAGATCATCTCTTCATACATTGCCAGATAGCAAGCAGCATCTGGAACTTCTTTCTTCATCTAGTTGGCTTCAGTTGGGTGGCTCCTAATCATCTTCAGGACCTGATTTCTCAGTGGCAAGGAAGAGGTCTGAGCAAGAGAGGTAAGACCTATTGGCTGATAATACTGCATGCTGTTCTTTGAGGAATTTGGGAGGAAAGAAACAATCGGCTGTTTGAAAATAAGTCAAAATCTAAGGATGAGATGATCAACCACATCACTCACAACTGCAACTTGTGGGCCTCTAGTTCAGAGGAGTTCACAGGAGTTAGTTTCAATGATCTCAGCAGAAACGTATATAACTTCCTGGTTTCCTCCCCTCCTACCCCACCCCCTCCCAGAGCTCCCTCAGTTAGAAGGGTAGGATTCTGGACTCTTAGCTTTGATGGAAGTGCTTATGATAACCCTGGAGCCACTGGCATAGGAGGAATTCTAAGAGATGAGAATGGGCACACCTGCTGGGCTTATAGTGGTCCGATTGGGATAGCCGACTCCACAAAGGCAGAAGTGTTAGCAGCTCTAACAGGGATTCGCCTAGTCAGCAAACTGGGCATTCAAAGCTTCTCAATTGAAGGTGACTCAGCCAACACTATAAGACGGTTGGATCAACAGGAAGCTGGACCTTGGAGACTTGGTCACTTCCTATCAGAGGCAAGGGACCTCCTGGATACGAATGTTTCTCTAACCTGGATCCCAAGGGAGCTAAATGCAATTGCAGATGGTCTAGCAAAATTAGGAGTTATTCTAGAGTCATTGTACTGTGATTCCTGTCCTCCTGTGTAGTTCTCAAGGGTCCGGGCCCCTCTTTTGTACTTGTACACCCTCTTGTGTACCTCTCCTTTCATTAATAAAATTAGTTAACTTTATTCAAAAAAATAAATGAGTATCATAACAGGATAACTTGGTGGAAAATAAAGGGAATTGTGAGTGATAAATGAATGTATACATGAACCTTAGGCACCGAATTTAGAAACTACTGATAGTGAAAGGGTGTTTAGATATTTAAAGTGACTCCTGTTATATGATCATTATTTGCTAATCAAGGACATCTCAATTTTCAAACATAAACAAATGAAATCTAGGCTGGAGATGTTGAGAATTGTTTTTGGATCAATATGGAGATGTTGACAATTTAAGGTCTACCTTTGGTTATTATAAGCTTTCTGGAGGGTTTTTTATGATACTCAAAGGAAATTTTCATTAAGGAAAAAAGAAAACAATACAAGGTGATAAGAAATCACCAAAGAAAAAAGAAAACAAAACAAGAAACAAATCATACAGCTGCCCCCACAAGAAAGCCAGACACATCCATCCCTTGCTTGACATTCAAACAAGCCCTTCATATAATAATTCAAATTACCTCCCCCACCCCAAAATACCAGTCCAAACACTTGTGCTTAAAAATCCAATTAAACCCCCCAAATCCATGATTACCATGTGCAGAAACTCACTGATGTACCATATTACTGTAGTTCCTATTGTATTGTATCTAACTGATGTATCTCTTATTTTATTATTTTCTCTTCAGCTCTGCAAGGGCCTTTCTGTAAATATTTTATCTGTTGCCCTACAAGGGCCTCTGTGTAAATATTCTAATTTCATTATCTATATAAAGGCCCCTTGGGGTAGGGTCGAAGCATCCATTTCTTCACCCCCAGAATTCTGTATTCTTCTCTGGGTTTGTTGACATGGTAGCAGAGCAGGCTGCTCTATAATTTCTGTTATTTCCCTGCTCACTCGTTGGCCAAATTAGGGGAATTGTTCTCTGGGTGTTTCGACTGGTGTTAGGGTTGTGCTCTTCAACCCTAATCCTAGTTCTCTTTGGAGGCTTCTATCTGGGAGGATACCTGACTGGTTGTGTCGCCCAGATCTGTTTTTTTTTTTTTTCTCACTCAGAAAATCTGTGGGATCTGACAAGTCTTGGAGGAGTTTTGGTCTTCCCTCCTAGGCAGAAGCAGCCTTCTTCCTCCTTCTGTGAACTGGTTCCTCCAGGGCGGCAGCAGCCTGGCTTCTTATGGTTCAGTTTTGAACAGCAGCAGACTGAGAAATCTCAACAGTCTAGCTTCTTCCTCCTTCAACAGCAGCGGTCTTGAACTTTTTTTTCTGGTTTCTTATGCTTCAGACTGAGGAACTTCAACAGACATAAGGTCTTTTCTTCAAGCTTCTCTGGAAAACATCTCATTTCAGGTTGGTGTATCTCACTATTGTCTTACTCGACTATTATCAATCCTTGGAACCCTAGTTTTGTGCTGCCCTAGGGTATTTTATTTACTCCTCGGTTATCAGTCCTTGGAACCCAAGTTTTGTGCTGTTTTAGGTTGTTTATTGGAGGATTTTGATTCCTCTATGAAGTATCCTTGCTGAAGCTGCTCTGGATTGGTGTTGTTTTGGGATCAGACTTCATTGCTATCTGTCTGCATTTCATGCTTCAGCCCTGATTATTTATTTATTTTTTTTTTTGTGAAATACTGTGTTTGGATAGGTGATTCACTGCCTAGTTAATTGCTGATTTAAGTGAACTAATTAACATTGCAAACATCAGTGCGGCTATCCTTTTCCCTGGGTTGATTTTGCTTATTTATGATGGCTGAAAAGATTGACTTCCTCCCTGTAAAATTTGATGGAACTAACTACAGTATGTGGAAGTTCCATTTCAATTTCTTTATTGATGGAAAGGGACTTGAAGGTTACTTGAATGGGATTGTATGTAAACCTGAAGAGCCAAATAGTAAAGCCTATACACAATGGAAGTTGGACAATAGAAAGTTAGTCTCCTGGATTTTGAGCTCGATTGTGCCTCACATTGGTATTCCCATGAGAAGACTGACTGCCTATGAGATGTATTCCCATTTGAAAAAGGTTTATCATCAGTCCAATATGTCACGGCAATACCAAATTGAATTTGAAATCTTTGCCTATTGCCAGGGGGACAAAAAGATACAAGAATACTATGCAAGCTTTATTGATCTCTGGGTTGAATATGAACTAGTTCATACTGAACCTTCTGATCCCGTTGAGTGTGTCAAGTATTTGTATAAGCATTTTGAAAATAGAAAGGTGAACTAGTTTCTTATGAGGCTGAGACCCAAGTATGAAATAATCAGGTCAAATATTTTGAGTAGAGGAACTCTTCCAGATTTAGACTCGGTGATGGGAGAGTTGTTGAGGGAAGAAACTAGACTCCTAACTGCTACAAACATAGAAGGGAAGGATCTTGATTCAGGGCCTGGTACTGTTTTTATTGCACGCGGGAATAAGAAATCTGGTAGAAAAGATTCTTCTAAAACCCAATGTCATGAATGTAAGGGATATGGACATATAGCTTCACATTGCAAAAAGAAGAATGTCTGCACCTATTGCAAACAACATGGACATATCATTCTAGACCGCCTAAATCGTCCACCCAAGGGTCCCACGAAGAAGAATCAGCCATGAGCTTATCAGGTGTCTGAGGGACAAGTGTCTGATGCCTCTATTGCCAAAGGAGAATCCTCTACTTCCATGAATAAGGAAGACATACGACAACTGGTATCCTCTGCTATCTCATCTACCATTTCTGTTATCGGCCTATCTGGCAAAGATTAAACTATCGGCATCGGGTATCGTATTGGACAACTCGAATACGGATATGGATACGCTTCGGAAACACATGGATACGGACAAAAAATATGAAAATGCATGGATACGCTAGGAAAATACATACAAATTCCATAAATACAATAATATCATTAAATTTAAGATCAAAATAATCACAAATAGTATATAAATGCATAAGAAATGTATATTTTAGTGACATATATGAAGAAATATATTATAATTAATACATCAGGATGCATAGATATCATATAATTTTATTTATAATGCATTAATCAAGAGTCCAAGGCACTAAACATATGCACCTATTATATTTTAATTATTATATAAATTATTTTTACTTTAATTTTTTAATTCTTTTTAATTTTT